TCTCGCGAGGTCCTGGACTTTTGTCACTTCTTGCTGAAGAACGTGGCTGGGCGCAAGCTGGAGAAGATTACGCTGCATGCGAGCTTCGATGAGATGGATCCGACCGTCACTATGCGCGAGCTGAACGATACGGTCAATGCGCCTGGACTCATTACTTCGACCATGTTCAGCCATATGCAGCCGTTCGCGAAGTGCACGCCGATCACACTCAATGAAATCACACTGCAAAAGCTTCATCTGCGCTATGCGTCGGAAACATACTGCAAGTTGATTGACTTCCGGTCTATCAAGAGCATCCGCATCTTCGGCTGTTCTGGTGCTGATGCCCTCTTTGCAGAGCTTAGCAAAAGCTCAAAACTGCCCGACAAGCTGGAGACACTGGAGTTCAAACACGATGATAACGCAGAGAACGACGGCTTAGGCGCTATCGACGGCTTCCTCGTTCTCGTCTCGGGTATCGAGACGCTCACTCTTGACCTCACATACGTCAAGGCCTTACCAGCCGCCGCCGGCATCGTGCGCCACAGCAAAACACTCAAAAGCCTCAACGTGCACGCGAGCACCGGTCCCGACAGCTGCGACGAAGAGCTCGTTTACGACTACGCCTCCTTCTCACAGATCTGCAAAGACTGCACACTACTTGAGCAAATCTCGGTAGCCTTCCCCGGCGTCAGCGTCATCCGCAGCAAGAACGACAGCTTCGTCAACTTCGAGAACTGCCTTGGTGATTTGCGCAATCTGGCAACTCTCAACATTACCACCTGGCCTACGAACAGCCCTTCATCGACTAAGCTACCACGCAAGGTCTACGAACACTTGCTGGCTGGTTTGGCACAGCAGGGTTTCGACCGCAGTGCCGCTCATGCGAAGGAGAAAGAGCGGAGTTCGAAATTGGGTATTATCGCGTTTGGCTCGTCGGATAAAGTGTACGACCGCGAGGACAGCCAGAACCAGATTAGTATGTATCAACCTCGAAGCTACACAACACCTTTTACTAACCCACCTTCTAGTCTTTGTCAAAGGCCGTCAAATCGACCCACTCGGCAACGAAACCTCGACGGCAGTGCAGATCGGATGGTGTTTGCGCAAGTTTATCGATGCGGGTTCCAAGTCGGACATTCTGGATTTCTCGTTGTCGCGTAGTTCACGGCCGCCAACGAGGAGCTCGCCGGATAGTGATGATAGCGATTGACAGGGGGATGAGGTTGTCGAATGGGGGCAACCTGATGGGGATGATGGGTGGTAGGGGTGTGGAGAGTGGTGGCGATGGGGGGTTAATGTTAAGAGGAACTGACTTATACGGTGGGTTGAGATGTTAGAGGCATGGTGATGCGAGCATATATACCAATTTGAAGGGATTAGCGGGCGTTGATACACAACCCATTCTTTACACTGATCTCTTCTCGGGCACAAATGTCAACTCTGAGCAAACTGAACGCGTCCATGGCATGTCTGTCTACGCGATTCGTTCATCGGACGAACATGCGTTCGTGGATCTCGGAGTATACTCCTTTCGATAAGATCGACGCGCTAGGAGATTATCTGAATTGCGTCATTGAGCGGAAATGAAATCTGGACATGACATTATGACAATGGGTCTACATTCATGCAGAAATGAGCACCATCACGCGTGGTGTAACGAGACTGGGGGTCCTGGGGAAGATGTTTTCGTCCTGCGGATCGTGCCTGCCCTAACATGATCTGTAGCTTGAAACAGCCTCTGAATTTTCATGCCATGAGCATGCAATGTCCAGCACCAACTCTAAACCGTCCACGTCTTCCAATTGCTAGCATCTGGTCTTGTTACACTCAATCGCATACCGCGAGCGGTCTCAGGCCATCTCTCCTTGTCCCTGTACCCATCTAACCGTGTCGGTAATTGCCGCGTCTGATCGGACCGCGAAACCTGTATGCAAGTAAGCCTACTAGAAGCTCTACTAGACCTGTCACGTTCGGCCAGGCAGTTGATCGCGCCCTGTCGTCTTGATACATCTGGAAGCTACCGAGCAGTTGTTTGTTTAACCGGAAGCTAACGGGACATCAGCCAACGTCCTTCCCTCGTCACGGTAGAACTGCGGCTACGCCATGACTTCTTCTCCGCATGCGTCGCAGTATCCTGCACCACCAGACGGCCAGGACCCGCATAATTACACGCCCTTGTATCCCAACGGGCAGGTTCTCGACGGTCAGGCACCGTCGTCGCGCATAGCCTACCCGCAAGAAGCCGCATACCCGAAGCTCGAGAATATCAACGAGGTGCTCCAGGCCCAGCAGGCTCTCCAAGCGAACCATGCCTTGAATCCTCCGCTGCCGCAGCAGTCCAAGCCGAACCGCCTGCGCAAAGCTTGTGATTCGTGCAGCATCCGCAAAGTCAAGGTGGGCGCGTTCCATTCTAACATTATGATAAACACGCTGATTGACGTCTGTAGTGCGACGAATCGGGCCCGCCGTGTAGAGCGTGCCTCGCGCTGGAGATTCCATGTACCTTTGAGCGCCCGAGCCGACGACGCGGACCGCCCAATAGGCATGCCGAAGCGATCAAGAAGCGCAGGATAGGCGACCTGGACTCCGAGTCGTCGACGCCGCAGTCTCCTACCAATGCCGCCCATGCGCTGGCGCAACTGCAGTCGTCGCATCCAGCCCAGCTCTCCGCCGAAGAGATATGCGCCCTGCCCACCCTGAACGCCCTCATCGACGACTTCTTCACATTCATACATCCGCTATGTCCCTTTCCGCACGAGCCGTCGTTCCGCGAAGCATGGGGGCATAGGGAGGACCTGACGAATCCCTCCTTCCTTGCCTTGCTGGCGTCCATGATCGCGGTCCTCGTCGCGTCCTTTCCTCGCAAACCACGCCTCCATCTCAACACACAGACGCGACGCGAATACCCAAATCACCTCTCCCTCGTCGACAAGTGCCGGGACGTGTGCGCGCGGGCGCGAGGACCCGGCTATCTCGACCGGCCGTCTCTGAACGTGTACGACGCGTGTACCAGCTACTTCCTCGGCTTGACCGGAGCCTACGTATTCCAATGGCGGCAACTGCGACTGTACCTCGCCGAGTGCCTGACCATCATACGCTCCCTGGGGCTCCATAAACCCGAGGCTCAGGGCTATACCTATCTTGGTGGCATGCCGAGTGCGTGGGGCTCCAACGGACCGAACCATGACGGCTCGAGAGAGTTCAAAGTAGACTACATCACCGAGGAGATTGGTCGGCGCGTCTTCTGGACGGTTTTTGTGGGTGTGCGGTACTTTTAACATTCTCCTGGCATCGACCATGACTGACTTTGATAGGACCATACAACAGCTCGGCGCTTCTTTCGGAGAGCTGATGATTGCGCCTGCCACACCTACGGAGCCTCTACCACCACTCCCGCGAGAAGTCGACGATGTACACATCTTTCCAAATGAGATACAACCGCAGCGCGAAGGGGTCGTCTCCATGCTCATTGGGTTCAACATCAACGTGCGCATCTTCCTGTCATACTCGTCGCTAGCAACGGCGGAGATGGCATTTGGCATTGATGAGATATTCGACTGGGATCGACAACAACAGATCTTCGCACAAAGCCTGCAGCGCTGTCGGCAGATTCTGGACAGCCTACCAGAGGTGCTCAAAGTCCGGCCAAAGTCTAGCAATAACAGTGGGCTCGAACAGCAGAAACCCTACTACCCGCCCATGCCAGAATACTCTGGGATGCGAGACCCCGCCATGGACACACATCACAAACCGGAAGCGCACGAACTGCGACGCTACGAGATCCAGAAAGCGAACATCTACGCCAGCCATTTATCCACTCGCTCGCACCTTGTGGAAAAGTACTTCCTTCAACTGGACAAGTATCAGCGGTCGAAGGGCCAAGCTGGTGCGCAAAACACGTCCAACGTCCTCGCAGCAGGAATCGACAGGTTTGTATCCGGGACAACAACCGACGCCGACGCGCTCGAAAAGGCAATGTCAGAAGAGCGGGAACAAGTGGTCAAAGACCTCCTCGTGGTACTGGGCAGCATCGACATGGTCAACATGGAGCCCAACGGCGACTCCTTTGTAAGTCTCTACGTTTACTTGCAAAACTCAGATTTCCTCTACCCCGTCCATGAGATTGACGGCTACGTCATCTCCATGTCGACACGTGATTTCTTTCGCCCAAACACCATTAGCCCGATCGCAAGCTTACGGTTCATGTCGACACAGACGCAGAAGATTCGCTCGATTGCTAGTACCCTGCTTGAGGTGCCGAAGGAGAGACGGGGGAGTGTGGCGTTGCAGCATCAGGATTACCTTTACAAGTTCCTGGATATTTTGAGTAAGTTGGAGAGGGTGAGTCCTGAGGCGAGTGATCCGAGTGGCGCGCTGGATGAGGAGAGTGAGTTGAGGCTTTGGGCGGATTTGAGGGATCATCAGTTGAGGTTTCAGGAGCAGGGGGGTGTTTATGGGTTTTCGTGAGGGAGAGACATGGACAGGTTTTATGACAGCGCCAGTCTTTACTGCGGAACGACGAGATCGCATGGAGTATGTCGGTGCTGATGGTGTGCCCAGGGCATTCAAGGTAATACTGAGCGCCAGCTCGAACGGATGGAATGCAGCTACAACGTCGGGTCTATTCTCACATTGAGGATCGTGTCAGGAAGATTTGGGGTGAGATGTAACAGTAGGAAGTGTCATTGTTATCTTGTCGCAGTCATTGTTAGATATAGTCAGAGATATGTTGGCACAAAAGCCTCGTCCTACTCGCTCTAATCACGAGTCCATCCCAGCATTCCAGTCGATATACAGTCGGAAATAATCATGCATCATGAGTCTATCCAGGTATACAATATATGTACAAGCTCTTCTCCACTCAACACGTAGAGGCCCTCAGAGTATGCCATATACCCTGCCCTCGTTTCACAGCTCCAGTTCCATGCAAGATTTCTTGCTGAATCCAGTGTTCTTCCATCTCTCCATCTCTCCAACCCTCCACAATCTCCACCTCTTCCCAGCCCTCCCTCCCCCATCTACGGCACAACCACCACCCCAATACTCCCCGCCTGCCCCACCACACTCCTCGCCACACCCTCCAAGCTCAACCCACTCAACCTCGTCTCGCCATGCTTAATCTTCGCAATCTCATACACATGCTTCAGACTAACCGTGCCCACCGTCCCTTTCACCGCATTGCCCACCGTCGGACTACTTGTGCTCGTCTTTCCTTTTTGCCCGTCATGGTTGTTCATGGGTCCCGGCACGTTTCCGGCTCCTCTTATCTTGTTCTTGGTGGGGAGCACGCCGGCGGCGGAGAGGAGCAGGGTTGCGGTCGGGGGTGTGCGCAGTTGGAAGTGGAAGGAGCGGTCGGGGCGGACTGTTATGCGTGCGGGGATGGGGGTGCCGGGGGTGTAGTGGGCGGTGCGGGCGTTGAACTCCTGCGGTGGGGGGTTAGTATAGGGTATGGGTTGGGTTTGCGACGATTGAGGGGATTGAGAAGGGTATGGAAGCAAGCGTGGGGTAACATCGATGGGTAGACCAAGTTTGAATAGAAGCTTTGCAATCGAAAATGAAGGTTGTAGATCTCGATATGTTGTGTAGGAAGGCATGCGACAATTGGAGAATGATAAACGTACTTTGCAGAAATCCATGCTCTTCACACCTTTACTTCCTAGCGCGGGACCAACGGGCGGCGAGGGCGACGCTTGCCCCGCGCCTACGATCAATTTGACGATTTGATCTTTTGCTATTGCTTTTCGCGCCATGGTGGGGAGGGATGTGGAAGTATGTTGGGGTGGGTGCTGGGGAATTTGCGGAGATGGGCTCGGAGGTGTCGGTCACAGGGTTTTTCGGGATATGGAGAGGTGGGGGATTGACGCGTTGGATTTATGAAAATAACAGAAATGCGATAAATGAGTGATGGAGATATGACATCTAGGTATGATAGAGATTCTTGATGTTGGTGGGATGACGATGCTGCCTGTCGTCCCACGTGACGACGTGATTGAGCTAACAATCTACGCGTCGCAGTTCCGCCACCTGCGAGCATTGATCAGCATTCCTGCACGACACTCCCTTTCCTCCCAACTCCCACCACATCGACCGGACATAGGCTGCCAAACCTCACAGTGCCTACCATAAGTGTCAATCCCTCATGCATCGACCAAAGACTCTCGCAGCCGGCGAGGCCACCCCGGCGAAGCCCGCGGCGCGTCTTTATGGTGGCACTCCACAGTCAACCGAACGCCTCATCAAGCCTTTCCGCTGTCCCGGCTCAGCAACAGTATCCAGTGTCTCCACGAAGCCAGCAAGGAAGAGGAGGAAGGTCGATTACTCTGGTGCCGGAGGCGAAGATGGAGAGAGCGACAAGCCATACTCGAATGAAGACCGGTTAGCCCTCGCCACACGAGACGCAAACCGATTTCCCGTGTTCAAGCCCAAAGACAAAGATACCGCCTTTAGAACCAAGTTCATCGTTCCTTTAGTCAACAAGGATGTTGGAGCTTACAACCCGAATCGACCAGCGCCGCTGCTTGGTATGCGGACCGGAACCGTCTTTGTTGCGCGACCACTACACGACCCGAGCGGAGAGTTTGCGATAGTACTCTACGATCCCACAGTCGACGACAAGCCGATACCGAAGGAAGAGGCGGAACCGAAGCTGAGTCAGACAGAAAAGAAGGAGATGGAGGCGCCGCTGGTACACAAGAGTTTGGCAGAGATACTGGGGTTGAAGAAGAAGGTGGACAATGAGCGACCGCGCGTGCCAGTCGTCATCGATCCAAGACTTGCAAAGGTTCTGCGACCGCATCAAGTCGAGGGTGTGAAGTTCTTGTATCGCGCCACGACGGGCATGATCGATCCGAAGGCGAATGGGTGCATCATGGCAGACGAGATGGGTCTTGGAAAGACGCTGCAGTGTATCGCGCTTATGTGGACACTACTCAAGCAGTCACCCGACGCTGGCAAATCGACCATACAAAAGTGCGTCATCGCTTGTCCGTCGAGTTTAGTGAGGAATTGGGCGAACGAGCTTATCAAGTGGCTTGGAAAGGACGCGGTTACACCCTTCGCGATCGACGGAAAGGCATCGAAAGAGGAGCTCATCCAGCAAATACGGCAGTGGTCGATCGCATCCGGACGCGCAGTTGTCAGACCTGTCCTCATCGTATCGTACGAAACCCTGCGCCTCTACGCCGACGAGTTTGGACAGACGCCTATTGGCTTGATGCTTTGCGACGAAGGTCATCGGCTGAAGAACGGCGACAGCTTGACTTTTACTGCGCTCAACAACCTAAACGTGCAGAGGAGAGTTATTCTTTCTGGCACACCCATCCAGAACGATCTGTCGGAGTACTTCGCGCTACTCAACTTCGCCAACCCCAACTACCTTGGCACGCGCATGGAGTTCCGCAAGCATTACGAGATCCCTATTTTGAAGGGTCGCGATGCGAACGGAACGGATGCGGATATCAAAAAGGGTACTGAGCGCCTCACCGAGCTTCTCGGTCTGGTCAACAAGTTCATCATCCGGCGAACCAACGACATTCTCTCCAAGTACCTGCCAGTCAAGTACGAACACGTCGTATTCTGCAACCTCGCGCCATTCCAGAAGGATCTCTACAATCACTTCATCAAGTCACCCGATGTCCAGAGTCTACTCCGCGGCAAAGGCTCACAGCCACTCAAGGTCATCGGCATGCTCAAGAAACTCTGCAACCACCCCGACCTACTCAACCTACCAGAAGACTTACCAGGCTGCGAGGACAAGCTACCAGACGACTTTGTGCAGAAGGATGCGCGAGGCAGAGATCGCGAGGTCAAGACATGGTACTCCGGCAAGATGGCTGTCTTGGATCGCATGCTTGCCCGCATCCGCGCCGAGACAAACGACAAAATCGTCCTCATTTCCAACTACACACAAACCCTCGACATCTTCGCCATGCTATGCCGCTCACGCGGCTACGGCTGCTTCCGTCTCGACGGCACCATGAACGTGAGCAAGCGCCAAAAGCTCGTCGACAAGTTCAACGACCCCGAAAGCCCCGAGTTCGTCTTCCTCCTCTCCTCCAAAGCCGGTGGCTGCGGTCTCAACCTCATCGGCGCGAACCGCCTCGTCCTCTTCGACCCTGATTGGAACCCCGCTGCCGACCAGCAAGCCCTTGCGCGTGTGTGGCGTGACGGCCAGAAGAAGGATTGTTTCGTGTACCGCTTCATCACCACTGGCACTATCGAGGAGAAAGTCTTCCAGCGCCAGTCCCACAAACAGTCTTTATCGTCTTGTGTCGTCGACAGCGCGGAGGATGTTGAACGCCATTTCTCACTCGACTCTCTCCGCGAATTGTTTCAGTACCGCGACAATACTACGAGTGACACGCACGACACGTTCAAGTGCAAGCGCTGCAGGAAAGAAGATGGAAGACAGGTGGCAAAAGCGCCGGCGATGCTTTACGGTGACACGAGTACGTGGAATCACTTCGTCAATGATGGTGAGACGGGGCCGTTGGGCAAGATTCAGGATTTGCTGCTTAGGCAGGAGACGGGTGATGGGTTGAGGGATGTTAGTGCTGTGTTTCAGTATATTAGTCATTGAGGGGGTGATTTGGTGTAGGTGTGGGATGAAGGTGCTGATAGGCAGGATGAGGGTGTTGTCAGCATGTGTCATTTGCATAGTTCTTTCAAGGGTTTCTAGCGTTTATGAAGCGTGGCGTCGCGATGGGCGGCGTTAGGTAGTGGGTTATGATAATGAATATGATATCTTTACGTTGGCGAGATTTGGTCACTGCGCTTTTTCATCTCATGTCGCCTATGTTGATATCGAGCATAAGTACTTGCGGGCAAGCATCGCGGTTGCCGAAGCCTTCCTGTCGCGCTATGTTCACGACGCACACTCGCCTATCTCGATGGGTTCATATTCCTAAAGCGAACGTGCCATGTAATCGATCTTGCCTGATTTGCGATCGCGATCCAAGTTGCGTCATGTTGTTCGGAGTAATGAATCTTGGAACATGTCGTGTAATCGCTGTTGCTCTATTCGCGAGAACGCGTTGCGTCATGCTCTTTGAAACAATGACGGAGTCACATGAGATGAAGTGATCGATGTGGTTGGTGCGGCCAACCGTGTGGGTTGATTTGCAATCCGCGGTCCTTGGCGTGGCGGTTTCTTGGTTGGGAGGGAAGTCGCAACTTGATGTTGGGGCGGGACGGCAGGTATTGGGTACGGAGTAAAACGGCGGAGGGTTCATACTCTTCCATATATGTCGGTCGCTTCTTTGTTTGAGTCGCAGATGGTCATGCGCTTCAACAAAGGATGCCGAAGGCAACGTTGGAAGCTCAAGAGCATGTGCCATTATGTGCCGGAGTACTATTCAGCACTGTGAGTATGATATCGTTAGCGGGTATGGAACATTCCTCCGGGGCCTATAGACTGAGTGCAGTGCCTGTAGCAGAACCATGGTGTTCGCCCCATTCATGCCAGGCACAGTACCAAAGTCTGCGATGACTTTCATGCTGATACGTGCCACACTCTCACCATGCGCATGAGTCCCAGTCCATAACTACCATCCGTACCGTTCATACGCAAACTCACCTATCGCCATCACTGCGTTTCTCTCTCGTCTCCACTTTTACCTTTACTGTCCCTTCTCTTCACGGCGGCTGCCTATGACGTAGCCCCACTCTTGTGACTCTTCTACACCCGCCTGGGCATGCTTCAGCCAACTCACCTCTCACCTCTCATCCATGGTTCCATCGGTACCACTGTCTTTCACCTACCAGGCTGCTGTCCACGCTAGCCTTTGAGACGCCATATAGCTGGCTCCCCTCCCGCCTTCCTTCCTCCTACACTCTTCTTCCTCCCAACTCCCACCAGCCCACTCTGTGAAGACCAGCACCTGGAAAGCGCCTACCCTGAGGCTACAAGAACTTTTCATCTGACGAACCAAAGAAACGTACGACGTTGTATCCTCCAGGCTCAAGTTTTGTCTCCATCTTGCTGCGGACAAGCCTCGTTGTAGTCGGCAACCGAAGTTTCCATCCCGCTAGCTAGCTCGCGCCACCTGGTCCGAGCTCCAACATCTCGTAGTCGAGCTCCACCATCCGAGTGAACCCTCCACGCCCACAAACCTCGTGCGCACACGCATACCATACCCTCGACTCGACAGCACGCTCCCGCCGAATCGCGCGACCGCCAACACACCCGAACTACCGCACATCATGGATTCCAAACGCCGCAAGACCGGCGACCAGGATGTCAGCGCCTTGAGGTTGGCGTCGCGCCAGAAATACCTTGCCGAACGCGAAGCGCAACAACTCGCCCTACTCCGCCGCCAGGTCGCCGAAGAAGCAGAAGAGGAGGCGAGACTAGGAAACAAGCTGAGCGAGAGAGAAAGAGCCGAGTTTAAGAAGAATCGTCAGACCCTGGAGCTGGCCGAGGCGCGAAATGCCATCGACGATTCCGGTTCTGGCTTCCAAATTCCCGACGCCGAGTACTCGAATAAAAATGAAGCTCTTACTCGCAGACATAAGGACACAGATGTCGACTACAAGAGCGAGTATCAGGTCTGGGAGCAAGATCAATTATCTAAGATAAAAAGTCAACCCAAGGCTGCCGATGTCCGAGAGGACGAATACGAGCTAATTTTCGACCCATCACAGAACGTGGTATATGATGGACCTATGGTTGACCTGGAGAAGCAGAGGCTTGAGATGCTCGTGGACGAAGCAGAGAAGCATGCCGCCTCGATCGAGGAAGTTCGCCGTTCTTTACCGGTCTACCAATACAAGGATGAGTTCATCAAAGCTCTACAGACTGAACAGATACTCGTCTTCGTCGGTGAGACGGGTTCAGGAAAGACGACACAATTGACCCAGTTTTTGTTTGAGGCTGGCTTTGCGAAGCATGGACGCATCGGATGTACGCAACCTAGACGCGTAGCGGCTATGAGTGTTGCCAAACGTGTGGCAGAAGAGGCTGGTGTTCGCTTGGGCAAAGAGGTGGGATATCAGGTGAGGTTTGAGGAGAAATTCTCGCCTGAAGAGACTAAGATTGTTTACCTTACGGATGGTCTTCTCCTAAGACAGGCTCTTACGTCACCCTTACTGGAGGACTACTCGACCATCATACTGGACGAAGCGCACGAAAGGACCATTGCTACCGACGTGCTGATGGTCCTGACACGTGAGATTACTCGTTGCAGACCGGATTTTCGTCTCGTCATCGCTTCGGCTACTTTGAACGCTCAGTTCTTCTCTGAATACTTCGACAACGCCAGTATCCTGTCTTGCCCTGGTCGATCCTTTCCAATCACGAAATTTTTCACGGAGCAACCAGAGGCCAACTACCTGAGCGCGGCCCTGACTACGTTCTGGCAAATTCACGCGTCCCAGCCAAAAGGTGACGTTCTCATTTTTTTTACGGGAGAGGACGAGATCATACAGGCTGCGGAATCTATCGAGGCTACTGCCAAGAAGCTCGGAAACACAATGGCGCCTGTCGTTGTTGCGCCTGTCTACGGTAGCCTACCGAGTCATCTGCAAAGCCGCATCTTCGATCCAGTGGCTGACGGCACTCGCAAGGTCGTCTGTGCTACCAATATCGCAGAAACGAGTCTGACCATCGACGGAATCGTTTATGTAATCGACTCGGGTTTGGTCAAGCAAAAACGATATGATGCCAGATTAGGCACAGAGACACTATCTGTAGTGCCAACTTCAAGGGCTAGTGTACTCCAACGCGCAGGGAGAGCTGGACGTACTGGACCGGGACTTTCGTTTCATCTGTACACACGATACGCGTTCTACAACGAATTGCCGGCTCAGACGGAACCAGAGATACTCCGAAGTTCCCTCGACAGCCTCATACTCATCTTGAAGTCAATGGGAATCAACGACATCCTCAACTTCGATCTGCCGTCAAAACCTTCCAGCGAGGCCTTGATCCAATCTTTAGAGAACCTCTATTCCCTCCAACTTCTGACCAGTGAAGGACAGGTCTCGAAGCTCGGTCGAAGGGCTAGCGAACTGCCATTGGATCCAAAGCTAGCGAAAGCTCTGCTAGCTGCTGACAGTTTTGGCTGCGTTGATGAGATGGTCACTTTAACTAGTCTCGTATCGGAAGCGGGCCAGATTTTCTTCAGCCCAAAAGACAAGAAAGCTGCAGCAGACCTTGCACGCCAGAGATTCGCGTCAGAGCATGGGGACATGATTTCACTCCTGAACCTTTGGAACGAGTTTGAGGAGACAGGCTTTAGTAAAAGTTGGTGTCAAGACAATTTCGTCCAGTATCGGTCGCTCAGTCGCGTGATCGATGTTCGAGAACAGCTGTTCAGACTTTGTGACAAGGTTGAGATAGAAAGGAGTAGCTGTGGAATAGCCGATCACATCAAGATCATGAAGTGTTGGACATCGGCATACTTCGCCAATACAGCCCGGCTGAACAAAGATGGCATGAGCTATCGCTGCCTTTCCTCACGCAATCAAGTCTGGATCCATCCATCTTCCTGTCTGAGAGACAAGCGGCCGCGCTTGGTATGCTACTTCGAGCAGGTGGAGACTTCAAAGTCGTGGATGCGTACTGTCGCTCCAATCGAAGCACCATGGCTCAATGAACTAGCTCCTCACTTCTTCAAGAAGGGACAGCTTGACGATCTCGACGTCGGCAAGAAGATGGGCAAGGGTGTTGGGAAGGTGGGTGTTGATCGCTGAATGCAGGTTCAGCCAAGAGTTCCCGGATGATTATGGAAGTACGATAGTGCGAGAGAGGGTATTTAGGCTCACAAGCGGCCTTTGTTTCATTATGTATCATATTCAGCGGCATCATCTTCATGTGGCGTCATTCTTGAGCATTCCTGGGTTCTCGCACGCAGCGGTATCTAGAGAGCGAAGATGTTTGAGGCACAATGCCTCGATGTGCGGAGGAGGTTTGTTTTTCCCGACCGAGTGCTAGGCGTTTTGGGAGGAAAAGGCTGGATCAGTGTATTCGATATGATACCCCATTTCATGTTTGTTCCAGTCAGGCGTGCTCGGCTTTTAGCGTAGCATAATGCTATGAAAGACTTGAGTCAAACTATATCTACATGTTGGTACCGTGAAATGCTATGAACTCTTGTGTGGTTGTAGTTAAGAATAAGTCTTGGGGCGGTTAATATAGGTGGAAACCGGCTGAGAGTACAAAGCATGCGTTCTAAGGTTCTTTATGCTGCATTTCGACGATAAGTAAAAAGCATATGTACGTAGCGAAGCAAGTAGCTGCGAGTGCCTTGAAGCGTTGCGATGGGCTAAGGTATGTTTGGCCCTTGGTGTAAGAATGCATGCAGCAATTTCGTTCTATTCGAAGACATCAAGTCCACTCGATACCGCATAGCTAACTCATAACATCCAGATACTCCACTACGGCTCACCTTGTATGCTTTAAAATACATAGAAGTGAGTATTCATGCTTTAACCTTCACAGTAGCCGCATCGCGCACCGCAGATTTGGTCGGAATGCAGCTAGAAACGTCGACATGACCCATATCGTATGCTTCAGACCCATGCATTAGGATATATACTTCCGTATCTGTGCTAATGTCGTAGGCAAGGCTGATATATTCCAAGCCGGGAATGTCTATAACACACCGTCTGATCAGCAAGATTGCGGTCAGGAACCGGATCGTGACCCATATCGTACGCTTCAGGCCTATGCATTAGGATGCGTTCTTCCGTATCTACTTCGATGTAGTAGCCTAGGCCAACATATTCTAAGCTAAGAAAGCCTATAATACACCGTCCGATCAGCGAGATGCTAGTTGAAAACCAAATCATAACCTGCATCGTGTTCTCCAAAGCGATATATGGCAGTACGTATCTACTTCGTAGTCTTAGAGTAGTCGCCTGGGCCTATCACCGCAGCGCGCACCATCAGAGAGCTGGTAGGGGTAAGATGGCAATACCGTTTGCTGAGAGGCTGTCAGAGGCCTCTTGACTGCTTTCACAGCGTCTTTTCGGTGTTGTACGCTATGGTTCGGCTGTGTGAGCGATGCGGGTAGGTAACTGTTCCACGCTTTCACTGCAAAGAAAAGTACATCTTTGGTGCGGGAGAGCAGCATGTATTGAGCTTACATTTTGCAGCTACTCCTGATGTCGCTGCTGTTGACCTTCATGGTGTTGCTGGCTGGTGTTGCTGCTGTCGTGGCTGAGATGGAAGGGACGACCTCTTGACAAACTCAGAATTTGACATCAATCACACTCTGTTGGGCTAACAGCCCATAGTTAGCTATTGTGTCCCTGAAATATCTCTGCAGGTGTTTACGGACAACCGCTTCTTGGTTGCATGCAATATGAAAGCACGATACATAATGCAAAGTATCTTGTGCCTTCGGGTGAACGTCTTAGCCTTCGCAATCCTCGATCTCGTTTCCGGGAATCGCGACGCCGCATCTAGTATGCAGCTTAAGTTAATTCTAGCTTTTGGATGCTTTTCGCGATGCGAGTACCGAAGTGGAAGACTTGTCTAGGAGGATATTGGCCTATCATTTGTCTGTGATATTCTTTGTGACTCGAGTTGGTGAAGACGAGTAGGTTGGAACTGGCTTCAGCAAGCCATCTGATATGGGTAAGACCTACACTGGCGTACGACTGGCTACATGTAGGCTATCAGAGTACTTGTAGTTGCCTCGCCGATCGAAAGAGATACCAAAGACTACCTGGCTTAAGGCTGTTGTCGGCAGATGCAAAAGGCGGTTGTCGCGTGTACTCAATGCTCGTACCACCGAACCGGAGCTGAATTGGGCGGCTGACCTCGCAAGTCAGATAGTGTAGGAAGGGTTGGTATTGGTCCACGATACGGTGCGCTGTCACCGGCGAAAGATACATGCGCTGGTGATGACACTGCCAGGCCTCATGTCGGAGATGCAAGTTTCCATCCAGCATGCTGTATAGACTGCGACAACCGCTCACAACAACACCCACTGGCACATTCGACGTGGATGTATTCGGCAAACCTGTTTATCCTACCTTTGAATAAACTCGTAGCTTCTCTATTAGTCGCCTTGCTTATACCTAGATCTACTATCTTTAGACGGTTTCTAGCATACGAAGTATGTCGAGAAGCTCGTGCACCAGCATGCAACCTACACCAGCATATATCCCATACTCTAGAAGTATCCCGGGGCTCTTCACGAGCTTCTCTAGCTTATAGGCCTTCGCGGGATCAACCTTTGCAAACATGCAACCGCCAAGTACTGTGCCGTAAAGCACGGTGTTTGTATCCCATATGCTGGCATTCCAACGCTTGAGGTCGGGTCGCATCTGCCGCCGCAAGAAGATGTACGTGTCCTTGATCACCTTTTGTCGGAAAGGCATGTTGCTGTACAGTTTTGATGCGCAGACGACTTTAATGTGGTCGTTAGCCCTCTGCTCCGGTTCGGTGTCGTCTTCGTTCTGGGCATTTGATAAGAGTGTGATGGGTGCGTTGACGGTCCCCATCCGCTGGCGCTTTCGCGGCCGCGCGGGCGACGCGGGAGGAGACGAGGGTTGGATAGGCTCCGAGCCCGCACCGTTTCGGTCTTCGCTATCAGCATGCACTGGAAGAATCTTCTGGTCGGCTTCTAGTGCTGGGGCAGGCAGCGTCTCAGGCAATGTAATGCCGGCCCATATTGTGTCGAACGCTCGCAACCTTTCCTCGGTGGCGTGTAGGCCTCGGTATTTTGCTCTACGGGGACACTTGCACCTGCCAATGTGGAAGTGCATGTGGCAGAAGTAAACACCAGCGAGGAGGCTACAACGACATCGGCGGCAGTCTTCTGGAACGCGATATGTATCTAGGTCAGCTACTTCTATGTTGGAGACGCTGGCGAAGATCGTCGCGGCTTGTTGTAGTAGTTTGGCGTTTCATTCGCTTGGTGAACGATTATATCCAAGACTATGAATGCGGCATCCTTGCACCAGGCTTTCGCGATAAAGGGTGGTAATTGCGACGGAAAGCGTTCCTTCCAAAAACCCCGATCTGCGCCCCAGCTCTTCAAACACTGGGGTTTTATACGCGTATAAAGAGAATTTCCAGAATATTGACGCTGTTAGTATGTTTCTGACCCAGCTTCAGCTTCCCTCCCAATAAATCTTCTCTGCCTGACTAGGCATCTGTGGCCGACACAGGATGTCCAAACAAGGCCGGATAAACCTTCGTAGCACACAGCGGCGTCTCCTTGGATCATGGTTGGGTGACCGGAAGATGACAAGCTGACCCCGGCTGTAAGATGGCGGTATAGTAGAAGCGGCAGGCGCGAACACGCATGCGGCATCGGTCTGCCCAAACGAGTTCGCCATATTGCGGCTGCCGGCACGTAGTTCTCGTGAAGGAAGCGCATCCAAGAGTCTCGCCATCAATCCTACGTTCTCGAACAGCGCGGCATGCATCGCGCGAGCCACGCGTCAACCCTCTCCCCAAGCAAAAAAGCAATATATCCGCTCGCCTACCCAAGTCCTGCAAACAACATCAGGAATGGATACACGCGCCGTGACTAAAACAAAGGGTCGCAAGAGCCGAGATGCCGTCAATTTATTGTTAGGTTGGACGAAAAGTGACGCGTTCGGTATTTTGGCGTTCTTGGGGAATGCACGGGCGGATGAATGGGTGGGGGGCCACATGCCAGGCACGACGCGCTGCAGGGTAAAGTGTAGGGTAAGGCGGCCTGTGTAATTTCCCGGTGCAGGGTCTCAGGGGCGACCCGACTTGAACGATGGTTCGCGTGCGAGGATCAGGGTAAAGAAGGAAAGATTGTCAAGACGTCAGTTCTTGAGATGTTCTGAAGACAGTGGTGTGTCAGGTATCACGATATGGTTTGCACAGACGGAGAAGGTCAAAGTTACGATCAAATGCATTGATGGTAAAATATGTACAGAAGGGTATCAGGTAGACAGTCAAGTCGTAAAGTAAAGGTGGAAATCATGTCATTAAGATAGCCAACTCTTCTCAGAACAGGCAAAGAGTCTAGGAACAAAAAAGACCACCGGGGACCACACGACTCCCTCCATAGGGCCAGTAAGCATTCCAACCAAGGCGTATTACAATACCAAGTATATCGATCCATCGAAATGCCGCTGCGACTTGATTGCGCAAGGAAGCAAAGGGCTCGTACCACCAACACCGCGCTCCCAATCCTAGACTGAATCGTGATGCAGAGTCGAAGTCGTAACCCGTGAAGCCATGTTTTATTTCCTCCTCTTTCCACAACTCGAGAAGAGACTAGCAAGGCCATGGGGAACCATGACCTGACGAATCACTCAAGAGCGAACTGCTTACAAGAAAGCAGCGAGGGCACCAGCGATGGCGAAGAAGCCAACGGAGACCTTGCCGGCGGCACCGGTGAACTCAGCGGGCTTGGAGGCGCTGGGCATAGCACCAGTGCCAGTAGGAGCAGCAGTTCCGGCAGGGACGTGGGGAACGGTGCCGTTGGAGGAGGGGTAGATGGGAGAAACCGGGGTGTAGGCAGGCGCAGTGTGCTCAGCAGCCGGGACGGAAGCAGAGGTGACAGTGGGCATGGGGACAGCCGGGATCTCGGGGGTAGGGGTGTGGACGTAGGTAGCAGTGTACTCAGGGATGCTGAGGGTGGTGCTGGAGGAGATGGTGTAGGTGGAGACACCGTAGGTGATGGTGGTGGGCTCAGGGCAGACGTAGCTGGTGGCGTGGACAACCTCGGTGGTGGTGTAGGCGGGCTTGGAGGCAGAGTAGACGGGAGCCATGGAGCTGGCCTCGTAGGCGGGCTTGGAAGCCTCCATGGAAGCGGAGGGGGTCTCAGCGGGGTAAGACGGGTACTCAGCAGCGGAGGAGGTAGCGGCCTCGTAGGCGGGCATGGAGCTGGAGGCCTCGGGGGTCTCAGCAGGGTAGGCGGGGTACTCAGCAGCGGCGGAGGAAGAGGCCGGGGCAGCAGGGTAAGCCTCGTAAGCCTGGGGAGCGGCAAGGGCAACGGCGGCGAAGCCAGCAATGACGGCGAAGGAACGCATCTTGATGTTTGGTTTGGGGGGTGGGTATTAAAATACGGAAGGTATTAAGTTGTAAGGCGTTGGAGGTCGTTGAAAACGAGTGTGATCGGTGATAACCGTGTATTAGTGAGTGTAGTGAGTGTGTGGTGAGGAATCAACTGAGGAGCAGCTGGCGAAGCCATTATATAGAACTATACACGAGCTGGCCTTACCAAGAGCGCCAGCGTCCATGAACAGGGGGCATTGGCGTAGTTGCATTCGGTTGGCAGTATCGCGAGGGCTCTGGCGTGCCGGTGGCGCCGTTTGGTGGACTGTGCCTGGCATAGTACGAAATAGGGGAACCTGTGGAAAGCTTCGACATGGGCCGTTGTGAGCTGTTTATTGATGGAAGTCGAGCGGGCCAATCAAAAGGTGGATTGCGTGCAGAAACGAAATGAGGTTGACAATTTCCCCTGCCAAGGGGCCTTGCCGCCCCAACACATCGCCCGTCGTTCTAGCTGCTTTTGCCGCAAGCGTTCGATTTGTGCACGCGGAACATGTTCAATCGCCCGGTAGGTACCTATCTCCGGTTCGTGATCCGCACCTGCATGTCAGCTCTGAGCAGAGAAGAAGCCGCGCGACTGTATCGAGGTGTAAGACACACTGGCAGCTGGCATTGGCGCCGAGCCGCTGACTGTGACAAAGAACACCTGAACAGAGCGACGATTAGGGGCTCCTTGCCAGAGGCACTGGAATCCCGATCAGAGTGGAGATGGGTAATCGTGACAGCATCTGGAGCAATCCCCGCGTCTGAGTAAAAATAGCTTCGCTGATAGGAGAAGGGCCAGATTGGACCGGTCTGATGCTGGCGAGGTCGTTGGTTCACGATGGACTGGGGACGTGCGGGTTCCTGCATTGCCCTTGCATCTAGACCTCGACTAGATCCAGCGAAGGGCCGACAGCCCGTCCAGTGTTGCGAACTATTGAAGCCATCGAGATGTAGCGGAAAGCTGTTGCCGGCGCTGCTGTGATCCTCAAGGCTGGCCAGCTCTCAGCTCTGTCTCAGCTCTTGTCATACGGGTGCTCTTCTTGCGAGAGTCATCCGCCCGCAGTGCTCCTTGCAACAGTCGTAACGCAATCTCGCATCTGGCATTCCTCAGGAGAGGCGCATGAGCTTAGTGAGCGCCACAATGGTAGTCGCATGTCACGCATTAAGCGCGGCACCTACTTGGGCGCAGATGTTTCGTCGGAGAACGAATGACGCGCTGCAAAACACGAAGAATCCCGATCCTTCCGCGTTATCATATCCCACAAATAGTGATCATTTCCGCGCAAAGCTAGAGAGCGTCGCGTCGATAAAGGGCGAGGCGTAGTGTGGTGTTAGTGAGTGCTACGGTGAGCGAGAGTGGGTGTTCCTGTCGCTTCTAGCCCGTCCCGCCGAAGTGTTGCCGGTCAGGCAAGAGCCCCTCGGTACCACAGCCTTTGACTTTGCTAACACAACAACTTCACCTCACCACCTCGCCGCACAATCCCGTATCATGCATTACAGAAAGGCACTATAGCCAGAGATTCCATATCTTTGTCGCGAGCTTCCCGCAATTCTTCGAGAGGGACCAAGCTTATCGTCTCGACCCCCGCGAAGGAACGACTGCCTGCCTGGATTAGATGAAAGCTGCGCAACTCTATCAAATTCGATAGCGAGATGCCAAAATCATCTGGCGCTGTGCCGAAGGGGTGGGATGGGCAAACCATCTACCTTCACGCACCTTCATATTCCAAGAAGCTTTGTAAAGACAAACTTAGCGCACTTATATTGCCAAAGTCCGATCTACCGCCCGATACACAGGTTTACAAGCCGAATGGGCCGTACTCGAACGTCAAGATCACACCCGTCACGGACTCTGCGCATCCTGCACACGGACAGCATGCGCTTTATGCTAACCAGCATCTGCCACCAGACTCGTTCATCCTGCCGTACTTGGGCCATGTGCACGATCAGACTGACATTGATGAAGCATCCGACTACGATCTCTCACTCGACCGCGAACTAGGCATCGGCGTTGATGCATCCAAGATGGGCAACGAAGCACGCTTCATCAACGACTACCGGGGCGTCTCTGCCGCACCGAGCGCCGAGTTTCGCGACATACTTGTAGACATTGGGAACGGGAAGGTGGAAAAGAGAGTCGGAGTCTTCGTGCTCAGCGCTGGTAAAAGCGGAAAGAGAGCGAAGGGCATCGGACGTGGACAAGAGATCCTCATCAGCTACGGCAAAGGCTTCTGGTCAGATCGACAGTCTACTGAAGACTGACACGCCTGTACCACACCGCTCTCATCTCTCGCAACATGTCGCATCACTTTCATGTACATCCGCCGAATGCCAGTATACGTTTGCGTTTCGGTCAATCCCTTCTGCAGCGACCGGGCGTCGATTGACGACGCCGTATGATCGGCGCGGTCAGGCCTCGATCTTCTAAGACCAACCCCGACCAGGCAGTGAGGTGTTTGTGCCGTACGCGTATCATGCGGAGTATGTCGCTCTGACATGACGCTTACTTGAGGACATGCGAATACCTGAATGTTGGGTGTAATCGCGGCGCGCCAGGGCGACGATAAGCCAAGGCCTTGTTCCCGCTGTCATGATTAGGCGGTATCGTCCACAATGTACACGAATCCCACGAGCATTCTGTCACCAACGTGGCACTCCAGCGTGACACTTCCCTGCCGCGTGAAGGATCAAGGGTCTGTTCTGGAAGCCTTGTCGTGGAACCTTTACGGGGCTCTGATACGCTAGAAACGACGATCGAATTTCCAACAGCCCTGTTATGCCCATGGTTGGGATTTGAGGCTTGCACAGGGACGTCACACCCAAGCCGAAACCCGGATACACGTGGGACTGAGCCACTAATGTGGCGTCGAAACCTGATTTTTCGTGCTAAGCCTGACTTTTGGCCTCTAGACACGTTGAAGGAAATCGAATGCAGTCAAATGCAGCGCCTAATCATCATTTGGGATGTCTCCAAAGAAGCCACATGTGTGTTAGTGCTGCGCTGTGAAGCCGCCCGAGCAGCAAAGTTGCCCAATGTCAGCACCATGCAAATGTGACGTCGCAGGATGTCTCCGCGCCGCCTCGGCCTGCGCCGAATTGACTCAGACATAATTTTGGATCAAGCGAAACGTCATACTGTGTCACCATGGCATTTCCGGCAGCATCATGGCATTGTGATGGAGGGCAGAGAATTCGCATTACCCACAAGTTACCCACAAGTGAAGGGTAAGAGTCTGCAGGCAAAATTACTCACGACAATGCAGGTACCATGTGCCATCGACTGCTTCAAGACCTTTCATGTGCGATCCTGTTACTGGATCACGATCCTGCGCCGTGGCCCTACATTCAGGTTCTTACCAGTGACGTTATGTCGCTTAGTTTACCTTTCGGGGAAGCAGGAGGATCAGCAAGGGGGCTGACTCCGCCAATCACAGCTGAACTACGCCCCAACCCCTGGCTATCCCAACAGGGTTCTGCGAAACGGGCCCCGTTACTCAAAGGCGTCTCGACACAGTGACCGCGGAAGGACGGATTCAGCCGCGCTGTGTTTCGGTGCAGGTGTGTTAATCGCACGTCATGGCCTATTCCGGGAATGTGAATGCGCGGCCCCATCACAAGCTGTTTAAGTTGCGAGCAAACCCCCAGACTCAGGAGACCGCATTTGCGAATCCGTCAAACTCTGGAATATTCTGTTAACATCACCGGCCTCGATACTTAAGCATCAGCCATCACCGAGTCGTCGCGGCAGCATCACCTTATCACCATCACTCCACTCTGGTCCACCACCAAGAACTTTTTCGTACCCACACTTCTGGGGCTCCGCCGATCTCCTAGCACCAACGCTCTTGGCATTGTCAACTGGTATTTCTATCAGTAACCCGACAACCCCACATCAGCTGGAATCAAATCTCCCTCCACGTTAAACGATACGATCACCAAGCAACACCATATCGGACTACACCATGGCTCCCATGTCGCGACCCACTTTATGTAGAGTGAGTCCCTCCGAAGTGCTTCCTTCCTTTACACATACTAACATGGCTATCCAGAACGAGTCGATGCAGAAGTACATGCTCCTCTCCGCCCAAAAGGAAGCTCTCCAACGCCGCATGGCCATGGAGATCCCTTTCAACGCCCCAATGGCAGCATCGTCGCCAGAGTTCCAGTCTCTCTCATCTTCGCCCGAGTCCTCACCCAAGTACTCCACGCCCTTCCCCGCAGCCAGTGATCCCGTCGCCGTCAGCTCCAGGACCAGCTCAACCCCGCGCAACAGTGTCGACGACATGCACACGGAAGAATCCCACAAGCTCGCCGTGATCAACCAACAAATCGTCGCTACCCTCACCGAGCTCATGAACACAGACTGCATCCGCAACGACGAGAAGCAGCGCGCCTGGGTCCAAGGCCGCCTCATGGAAGCTGAGCACCAAATACGTCGCGAGCGCCGCCGTCACTCTTCCAACGCTGGCGGCGACTTCGCCGACGCCATCGCACAGCATCTCGAGCTCGGTCTCAACACTTCCAAGACATGGGCTTAAGCCCATGCTTTGACGCACGTCCACATCATGTAAGGTTTCTCATGGTGCAATGACGTGAGGGTTACGAGGATCACGATCGTGATTTTGCTCTCTTGTGTTTTGCGAGCGGCGTTTGCTTTTTTTGGCCAGGCAATTGGCGCAACGGTTCTGAAATGAAGTGCTCAAATCAGAAAAACAGATACCCCCCTTTGATGCAATGATTGCATCAAGTCGATGGAACTGCTAGGTTCCCGACAAGATCTCTATATAGTTAGTTTTATGAAATCATGATCACTCTATCACGCATCATCGCTGTCATTGCTACTGCTGTTTATCCCGTCCCGTGTCGCGTGGTTTGACGACGTAATATCTGCTGCTTCTTGTGCACTTTGTTTTATCATCCCGAAATAAACCTTCGTAAGCGTACCGGGGCGTTTGGCCGGTAGAGCCCTTCCCGTCCAATTGGAACTTTTGGCGGCGTACTGGCGCGCGGTCCCTGCATCCCCATGGTTCTTTCGCGCAGCGTGCTTTTTCGTGGGTTCTCTCTCCGCACAGCAACGCTGACGCGCGATCGCTCTGTTTAATAATCTTGATGACTTCAAACCACGTCTTTCCAACGTTGTGAAGCGGGGATATCCTTTGTTCCTGCCTTCCGATCCTTCAGATGATGTCTAGATAGCGATAGCGATAACGTTCGCAACAACGTGGATGCCACACCCCAACCACGTTGCCCTTCCACGCTTCCACCAAACAACGTGCTCATGACGTCACCCAACGCTTTCCCCCACAAACGCAATAAGCAACACCACACGCGACACACCCACCAAAACGCATCGCATCGCTCTATAAACACCTAAACGGTGGTTCAAAGCCGTTCATACTTCCCAACAGAATCGCGCGTCGAATGGATGGCGGTTCGATCTCGCTTTAGATAGCTTGCAGCTGTGTTATCGGTCCGTATGCATGCGGTATGGGATCGGCGGTGCTGCAGCAGGCTTGCGATTGCTTTACTTGGGCGTCTTACCCCTCATTTTGGGGAGGGAGCTGGTGAAGGTAGGGTCTAGATGCGAGGCTGTTGTGCTTAGCTGGCTGTTTAGGGGAGGCTGGGATGGGAGGCTGGGTTGTAGGGTCTGGATGGGTGCGGTGGTGTGGTGGTGTGATGTGGTGTGCTGTGGGATGAGTTTGGCGGAACGTTCTGGAGCTGGAGGCATACTGAGGCAGTTTTCTAGGCTTATGTGATAGTAGCAATCACGATGTAAGTTTCGAGGTTCATGGCGACCACGATGCGCTCACCTCTCTAGTTCGGGTTATCAGCACCTATCTTGAAGCATTCGCCGTGTTTCGCGTTCAAGGTATACATTGCCTTCAGCATTTCTGACGATCAAGGTACGACTTGGGAACGAAGGTCTGCTCCGTAAGCAATGTCGAGGAATTAAACATTATCTTATCCGGTCTGCGACGCGCATGGGGTTCTGCGAACGGTTTGCGCGACCATCAATTTTGTGGCTAGGATAAGTTGAATGGGTCCTCTCGTGCTATATACCCTTCCACTTCCTAATGGCGCACGCTGCCCCGGCCATTCGTCATGTGCCGAACAGCGAGTTCTGCTGACTGATCTATAGGTGAAGTCGATGATGATTCGATGGTATGAGCGCAAGAGCTCAAGTAACAGTCCGGCCGACTTCAGCCACCATCCCGGTTCTTCTCTCAATCATTGCAAGCTTGATTTGAAGAAAGCAACCTCTTGGCTGGTCCCTCTATAGGTCGGCGTTACACGAGATGTCTTCGTAACAGCCCCGCACTTGCCGTCTGCAGCATTGCGGCGCAGCACGCCGCACTGCTCTTTGATATTCTCGCACTTCGCATGATGAACCTGACTCCCATCTTTCTGGTTTCTACAAGTTTCGGAATCTAGCAAGAAAGTTCAGACAGCTCTATCATCACCCTTCCCGAGGTCTGTCACAAAACCTGGCCTTCTACCCTGCCACCTAGGTGTCTCGCGCGCAGGGTACCTATCCTTGTAGACATGGGTGAGACCGTCGAAAGTGCAGCAGAGAAGCCTCTACGATCACCAAATGTGAATGAGAAGTACTGCACGCACTGTTTGCGCGTTGATCGCTTCCTCAGCGATGTTCCAAATACTGAAAAGAAGGACGATATCATGTTAGGGGAGAGAAAAACATTGGGTGGGCTCTATTTCGTACTATCCGAACCATGCGAAACCGGTCTGAATGAGACGTGCCCTTCATGCGAAACCTTCATCAAGATGTTTGGTACGAATCCCTCAAGAAGAGCCGGTGCTGCACTTACCCTTAACCTGGCATTTACTCCCACTGGGGCAGTGATAATTCATGCGGCAGTCGAGACACGAGGCTGTTGCGAGTCTGGAAAAAGCCGCCACCTTTCGACTTACGTGCTCCCGCGCTCACTATGTCCCACACGACTTCGGACCATTGCCTCTGCACCTAACGAGGCCAATAGCTTCCCTACGGGGTTGATCAAGCCCTGGCTACAGACATGCGAGCGCGAACATGAACAGTGTCGGCTGGATTCTTCCAACAGACTGGATATATCACTCTATCTTATCGATGTGGTCGATGGATGTATCGTCTCTATGCGCGATTTGAAGGAGCGCTATCTAGCTCTGAGTTATGTCTGGGGTAATGTGGAGTTTACAAAATTAACGTTCGACAACATCGACGCTCTTCAGAAACCCCAAAGTCTAGCTTTCGGATCACAGGTTGC